ATGTTTCACATGGATGCAGCTTGCATGGATGCTGAGTGGAGGAACATTGGCGATCGTCTGGCCGCTGTCAACTGCGCGCTGGAGGATCGCATTCACAAAGGTCGACTGACTCTCAACTCCATCAAGCAAGCACTTTCCCACACTCTTCGACCACGTTCGCCACTGCACAGCAAATTCGCAATCAGGTGTGTGGTGCTCTTCTCATCCTCTCACTAAACGCTAACCACTTTCAGCCATGGCTATTGGCGACTTGTGTCTGTGAAAGATGCCGCTCTTACTGATGCTCATTTCAGTAGCAGATGATGCAGCGGATGCTACTCACGCCAAAGTATTTGTTTGTTTAAGTAATTTCTAACCGTGGAGGCTACCCATTATCCTTTCCGTGCTTCACTGATTCACCAATACACTGACACTCTCGGAGGTGTCGAGAAGTGAGTCGATGCTCTCGGTCTTGCACATTTGCCATTTACCAACATTAAATAAGCATCAACATGCATCCCGCTCAGGGAGCTACTAACTACCACCTTCGATATTTGCAGGTTGCCTCCACGCCATGTGCTTAATGCGCATTTTCAAGGTGGCGTCAATGTTTATATGCAATTGAACCAATTGTGAGAGGGTGATTGTTGTGAGCGAACTGACATGTACTGCTTTCCATTACGGCTGGTGGAGACTTGATTTGATGCACTACTTGATGCTCACTCACACCACAGTTATCCCTTCTCCTAGATCTCGGGAGGTGATAGGTGTGAGCCTTCCCTTTGGTTACTTAGTGAGCCACACCATTCTGGTAGAGGCAATGTGCGCCTTCTCTGGCCTACAGATGCGCAACATGCGACTAGACGTGGTGGCAGTGTCAGACGCGACGTTGGTGGGTGGATTTTGTCTCACTGCCTCTCTGCTGCACGTGCGGTGGGAAGAGTCCGAAGCAATCGAAATGGCTCATCTCCTCTGGTTGCTACACTGTGGTCAGTCTACTCTGCCACTATTCTCCAGTCGG